CTTAAATATGAAGAGCGGCTCTGTTGAGACTGCATGTTCTTCCCCAAACAGATGTGGCTAAAATCACAGATGAGGTCTACATGGAAGTGGTGGTTGGGGGTGAAGACCCTGGAAATGTTCAGAGGACACTTGAAAACGCATCACTTAGCAAAGACTTCATGCCTGTGGCTTGGGCAGCTGCTTACGGTCAGTAAAGTCACCATTGTTTATGGTTAACGCATATATTTTTTACAGTTAATTTTAAAGAAAATCTGCATTTGTATGTCTCCTTTTATCATTTATATTTTCCCTGGTATAGAATGAACGTATTTGCTTATTACAGTTATTTGGATAAATTTGGGAAAATGTGTTTAGATGGAGTTTGTAAATGTGTTTGTTTACAATGTGAGAAAGGTAATTAATATAATGTCTGTCAGGTGGGGAAGAGAGCGAAAGCTGTGAGAACCGGAATGGAGCAGCTAGTGCTCTGCTGCATGTTGATGAATCTGACATGATTGAAAGGCTCAGTCGGCAACGAAACAAGAACAGGGGCAAAAAACGCTCTGAATTTCGGCACATTCAGACAGGTGCGTCTTTACTGCTTCATTGTTGGTTTTTTAGATTTTATTTTTATAGTTCATTGTTTATTTGAATTTATTTATTAACCTTTAAACAGCTGTTACATATTATATGCAAATTTATGTGGTCAAAAATAAAATTAAAACAAAGTAAGAAATAAAAGAAATAACTTCTGTTCAGCTAAAATACATTATACTACCAACTTTAACTACAAAAGTAACAGTAAATGCAAAAACTGGTGAAAAAATTCCACTGAAAAACCTGTCACAGTGTTTACAAAAATATTAAGCAACACAAATGTTTGCGACATGTATATTCATAAAGGGTCACGAAACACAAACACATTTTTTGAGATGTTGACAGTCATATAGAGTTGAAGTCAGTATTTTTAGTCCCCCTTTTTTTTCTTTTCTAAATATTTTCCAAATAGTGTTTAAACACAGCAAGGAAATTTCCACAGTATGTCTGATAATATTTTTTTCTTCTGGTGGAAGTCTTATTTGTCTTATTTCGGCAAGAATAAAAGCCATTTTTAATTGTTTAAGAACCATTTTAAGGTCAATATTGTTAGCCCCTTTAAGCTATATTAGTTTTCGATAGTCTACAGACTATAACCAACATTATACAATAACTTGCCTAATTACCCTAACCTGCCTAGTTAAGCCTTTAAATGTCACTTTAAGTCGTATAGAAGTGTCTTGAAAAATATCTAATATAATATTATTTACTGTCATCATGGCAAAAATAAAATGAATCAATTATTAGGAATGAATTATTTAGAAATGTGTTGAAAAAAAAATCTTCTCTTCGTTAAACAGAAATTGGAAAAAAATAATCAGGCGGGCTAATAATTCTGACTTCAACTGTATGTGTCCTACGCTGCTAAAAACACTATTAGGACACACATATTTACAAAAAAAAGTGACAATTGGTTGTTTTTGCGCTATTTCAAGCAAATTGATTGGATGTCTGTACCAGCAAATACAACGTGACATCTTTGAGCTTTCAGCATTATTTATGAGAAAGACTTGGTTCAAACCAATCAGCGAACTCAGAGACCAATCAGAGAGACGCCATGTTGTGTTGCCAATCATAATTAAAAAAGGTGGAAGAAGAAGAATTGTTTGGAGACATGGGTCATCAGTTTTCCCGCTATGAGAGCACAGCTGGACTCGTGTGGATTACAGTAGTCTGCTAACATGCAACAAAAATGTTTGTAAAGAACATTTTTACCCAAAAGCTTTTTGTGTCTGGAAATGGTGAAATTCGTATTTGCCGCTCAGCTCCTTTTAAAAAAGACACGGCTCCAGTTTGTGTTGTGTGTCCTGTCTCCACAGATTTGGTAAGTGTGCGATCATTGTGCTCTCTACTTTGTGTGGTATAAAATTCCATTAAAACTACACTTCCAGCTGTTCCACGCATCCAATATCTCGTTTTGTCATGGGGGGCATGCATGAAAGGTTTCTGAATGAAAGTGAAAGTGCCAAACTTCAGTTAAAGTAAAAAAATTAAGAATGAAACACCCGAAAATACATGAAACTCCAGAGGGAATTTGGATAGTGCTGTGTCGAATTGTGTACAATAACATGTAAAACGGGATCATCAAAACACAACTCATGTACACGCTTTAATCATATTATTGTCTTATTCAGATTAAGGCAAATCATTTGATTACTGATTTCCATGTAAAAGCAGTCACTATCATCTCCCCTGTGACTGTGTTGCCGGTGTGGAAATCAGCTGTAGTACACTTAATGAAACTCCCCTTTTTATGCAAGCCCTACCCTCTTTTGCCACTCAACACTCCCTCCTATACAGTGCGGGACTCACCCACTAGAGGTATGAAAACACCCTGCTGAGACGGGGGTTTCGTGACCCTTTAAATATATTATTATTATCAATGTTAAAAACACTTGTGATTATGTGACACTGAAGACTAAGTAAATGCTGAACGTTTATCTTTGTGTTCATTACATTTAAAATGAAATAAAAATTAAAAGTATTTATTCTAAATAACATTTCAAGATTGTAGAGTTTTACATTTTTTGACCAAATGAAAGCAGCTTACTTAAAGACTCTTTCCAACCTCAATCTTTCTCAGTGCTAAAATATATTGCATTCATTTTTGTTTACTTTTTCAACTTCAGCAATCATCATCGGGCCTTACGGCCAGCCTCTTACAGTGTACCCTTGTATGCTCTGCGGCAAGAAATTCAAGTCACGTGGTTTCCTCAAGCGCCACACCAAGAACCACCACCAGGATGTCGTCAACCGAAAGAAATACCAGTGCACAGACTGTGACTTTACCACTAACAAAAAAGTCAGTCTCCACAACCACATGGAGATCCACACTCTCAGTAGTAAAGCCCCATTTGAGTGTGAAGTGTGTGGGAAAGAGTTTCACCAGCAGGCTGCGCTGTTCTCCCATCGTCTGCAGCACCACCACAGAGAAGCCAAGCTTCAGATCTCACCACCAACCACCAAAATGCACAAGTGCAAGTTCTGCGAATACGAGACTGCAGAACAAGGACTCCTCAACCGGCACCTGCTCGCCGTTCACAGCAAGAACTTCCCGCATATTTGCGTAGAGTGTGGGAAAGGTTTTCGGCATCCTTCAGAGCTGAAGAAACACATGAGAACACACACCGGTGAAAAACCGTACTCATGCCTTTACTGCGACTACAAATCAGCCGATTCGTCCAATTTAAAGACGCACGTTAAAACCAAACATAGCAAAGAAATGCCCTACAAGTGTGACCGATGTTTCCAGACATTCGCTGAACCAGAGGAGCTTCTACAGCACAGCTTAACGCACGAGGAAGCCAAAACGCACCAGTGCACCCACTGTGACCATAAAAGCTCGAACTCCAGTGACCTGAAGCGCCACATTATTTCAGTTCACACCAAAGACTATCCACATAAATGTGAAGTCTGCGGCAAAGGCTTCCACCGGCCGTCCGAGCTCAAGAAACACTCGGCCGCCCATAAGGCTAAGAAGTTGCACCAATGCAGGCATTGCAATTTCAAGATCGCAGATCCATTTGTTCTCAGTCGGCACATTTTGTCGGTGCACACCAAGGAGCAACAGGCATTTCCTGATAAAAAGGGTCTTAAGAAGACGTTTGGACTCGGAGCTCATGGAGGTAAGAAAATATTGGGGGGTGCCGGTTTGTCGAAGGGTCACCGGGAGCGAAGGGTGTACCAATGCCAGTATTGTGACTACAGCACAGGCGACGCGTCTGGTTTCAAAAGGCACGTGATCTCCATTCACACCAAAGACTATCCTCACCGTTGTGACTTCTGCTCGAAAGGTTTCAGAAGACCATCCGAGAAGAATCAGCACATCATGAGGCATCATAAAGACCTAATGCCTACCATGTGACCTGCCATACTATCTCCAATCAGGAAAAGGTTCATTCTGATATAGCTGTGGCCTTTTTGGCTGAAAGCGAAGTCTGGTTGAGCTTTTTCAGATTGCAGATGGTATAGAAAGAATGAAAGCGGGAGTAAATGGACCATCTAATGTGTCTGATTACCCCTCTATAATGTTCAAGTGAATGTTTCGAAGATTCATGAACCTTTCTTTAGATCCTGAAGAATAAAAAGCTAACCATTGTTGTGACCAGCTGTAGGGTAAATGCACCTCTAGATAATCTTGCATATTAAATCAAGTGTGGATGGCATTACATGTTGATATTGAGCATCTGGTGATACATTTGAATTATGACTCCTGCATTGCATGTTACACAAACTGTGTGTGAACAGCTTTGATGATTGTGGCGTGAATGTGCACATGCGTTTACTAGTACAAGTTTTGAGAATGGGCTTGAAAAAGTCTATTGTCGTTAAACGATGGTGCTAATGCTTTATGTTTAGCTTCAGATGTGCAGAATGTCTAATGAAAACTAATTAGAAATAATCACCTCATGCCCTGGCTGCTGGAAAAGTGTTGTCACTTGAGAGCAAATGGCTGATATAGGCTTTAATTTGGGTTCTAAAACCAAACCGTGCTGCCACATTCATTTACCAATAACAGCTGTCTGGACTTGAATGTAATTTAGGTTTTCTTGGTAATATAACAAGCTTTGATCAGAGTGTGCCGTCATTACATCAGACTGAAATCTAAATTTGTTTTAATTTAGATGCTTGTATGTTTGTGTACTCCTCGAATGTGGCCATTTGGCTTTTGGTCTGTTTGTTGTAAAACTCACCCTCAAATAAATATTATTATTATTGTTATTATGAAGAAATTTAGGGTAAATTTTATTTTTTACACAGATCCAGAAAATGTATAATTTGGAATAAACAGATTCTAAAAGAGGTTATGTTATGTGTATATGAAATATTTGTAAATACAGAAGTAATAAACAGTATTTTGTGTCCAAGGTGTTTGCTTTTCATTATAAAATTGAGCATGAATGACACACACACACACTCACACATTAGTTTTTTGCCAACCTATTTAATCCATCGGCAGCAAACAAAACCAACAAAGAGAAAAAAGAAGTTATTCTTACAGGTGGTGTGCCATAATGGTGATCAGACATGTTAGCCAACAGTGGCACCTCTAAACATGATACATCATTAAGAATTGAGTTAAAAACGCATCATTTTGGTGTAAAAAATACTTTGTGATTCTCTTCCCTTTGCTTGAGATTGTGCAGACTGTTTAAGGCACAAATAAAAACAATATAATGTGAAAGAGACCAAAACCAAGCCGACCGTAAATTCTAAAAAATCTAATCAAATGAAACAGCTTATAAAAGTCTTACAGGTGGTGTGCCATAATGGTGATCAGACTTGTTAGCTAGCATTGGCACTTATGGTCTAGAACATGAAAAACTGAGTTTTGGTAAGGAAATACTTCTCTCACCTCTGCTTTTGATTACTCTGTAGTTGCAAACTGGTCAATCAATATGAGCACACCATGACTGTTCAAGGCACAAAGAATGTTTTCATACAAAGTGAAAGAGACCAAAACCAAGCCGACAGTAAATTCAGATCTGTTTTTGTCTGAAATGAGTGGACCGGCTGAAGCTGTCTTTGTCTTCGCTTGATGAGGTGATTATGCGGCAACTGAGCATTCTCCTGTAGAACACAAGTTTATGTTAGAAAGTTATTTATAAATGATGTTTCTTTCAACACATTGTCAGTTTTTTTAAAATAACATTTTTTTCCCCATGAAAAATCATAAAACAAACCGCCTGGTGGAAGTATGAGAATGTTTTCATCAAGAATGCCAGTGTCCCGACAGAACTGCCTGAACTTCTCCTTCAAGTCATCAGCAATTTCTGGAGTGCGACCTGTGACAAAAATCCCAAGGGAATCTCAGTTTTTGTAATAACTTCAAATTTTTTAAATAACTTGGTTAGAGGCATGACTGATTTTTTAATATTTTTTTCTTAAATTATGGTAGCACAACCATGATAGATTTTTTGTTACCATGGTTTTACTCCAGACTAGCCTTTTTTAATAAAACCATGGTTCATTTACTATGGTTGATTTTTGTAAGGGAAAACATTGTCAACATTAAGGTTAAGCGGCTACTTGTATTGTCTACAAAAGATGTCCTTACTGAGGAGTTTGTTGAGGACATCAGATTCTCCTGCTTTGGTTTTGATGACATGAATAACAGCGTACTTGTCAAATGTGGCATCAACCACGCGCAAATCATTGTCATTTTTCCAACCTGAAAAAAAATTTGCATTCGTATTTTAGCCCAGATAAAGCATGTTAACTATTAGATGAAAAAATAAGAAAAAAACAATCTTACGCTGGCTGTAGAAGACAAATCTTCCAGGAGTCTCGGTTTTCTTGGCGAGGTTCGTCATTTTCCAGCAGGTACCATCACTCCTAAAAAACAAATTACCGAAGGTATTGATCAAAAGGTAATGCATCAAAACTATTTCCTTTGGCACCAATGAAGCTTGTTTGCATACTTTGGTTTATAGCAATTGAGTTCAAGGTCTCCCTCTTCGGTGGGCACCAGCATGGCAGTTCCCATCTTCATGTCAACCTTTTTACTTGCAAACCATTTTGCGTTTGTAGCAAAGCCAACGAGATACCACTTTCCTTCCACCTGAAGAAAATTTGTTAGCGCAATTATCTCACTTAGTGCCCTTCAGTTTAACGCATGGTGTAAATGCTCGTATATTTGAGGAATTTACCTTTTGCAGGTCGAAGTCAGTCATGGGCATGACATCAGCCGAGGCGAAAACTGCGCAGAGCAGAAGGCACAGCATCTTTACTACGACACTCGTCATGTTTGCAGAAGTGTTGCTTCTCTCTCTGTTTGCAGTTCACAAGGCAGAGTCGGGTGTGTGGAGGAGACGAATGGCAGCCCCTTTTTATCCTCAAACTGAGCCCCCCAAAGCCGAGTCCCTCCCTACTTGCAGACCCAACAGGAATGATAATTACAGTCGTTACACAACTGCTAACACGCACGTGTGTTTTCTTCTAGATGTACCGCATGTGGGTGCGTTTTATAATTTATATGTCCATATTTGACCTTCAAAATACATGTTTATTAAGGCTCTTGTGTTCATTCTGGTTACATTTATTTGATAATCTAAAATTTAACAAAAGCATGTACATCGCAACTGGCTGCTCAGCCAATCCAAAAATACGCAAATACACTCGCCGGCCACTTTATTAGGTACACCTATCTAACTGCTCAGTACTGTAAATTTCTAATCATCCAATCACATGGCAGCAACTCAATGCATTTAGGCATGTAGACATGATCAAGACAATCTGCTGCAGGTCAAAACTGAGCATCAGAATGGAGAAGAAAGATGATTTATGTAACTTTGAGCGTGGCATGATTATTTGTGCCAGACGGGCTGGTCTGAGTATTTCAGAAACTTGATCTACTTGGATTTTCACACACAACCATCTCAGCAGAGAATGGTCAAAAAAAGATAAAATATCCAGAGAGCAGCAGTTCTGTGGGCGCAAATGCCTTGTTGATGCCAGATGTCAGAGGAGAATGGCCAGACTGGTTCCAGCTAATAGAAAGACAACAGTAACTCAAATAAATACTCGTTACAAAAAAGTATGAAGAAGAGCATCTCTGAATGCACAACACGCCCAACCTTGAGGCGGATGGGCTACAGCAGCAGAAGACCACATTGGGTGCCACTCCTGTCAGCAAAGAACAGGAAAATGAGACTACAATTCACACAGGTGGGCGAAGCTGTGACGCAGTAGGTAGTGCTGTCGCCTCACCGCAAGAAGGTCACTAGGTCGCTGGTCCGATCCTCGTTTCTGTGTGGAGTTTGCATGTTCTCCATGCGTTCGCGTGGGTTTCCTCCGGGTGCTCCGGTTTCCCCCACAGTCCAAAGACATGCAGTACAGGTCAATTGGGTAGGCAAAATCGTCCATAGTGTATGAGTGTGTGTGTGGATGTTTCCCAGAGATGGGTTGCGGCTGGAAGATCATCCGCTGCATAAAAATGTGCTGGATAAGTTGGCAATTTATTCCGCTGTGGCGACCCTGGATTAATAAAGGGACTAAGCCGACAAGAAAATGAGATGAGATTCACATAGGCTCACCAAAAGTGGATAATAGAGGAAAAATGTTGTTTGGTCTGATGAGTCTCGATTTCTGCTGCGACATTCAGATGGTAGGGTCAGAATTTGGCATCAGCATCATGAAAACATGGATCCATCCTGTCTTGTATCAGCGTTTCAGGCTGGTGGTGCTTGTGTAATGGTGTGGGGGATATTTTCATTGATAGCAAGTGATCATTGTGTCAACACCACAGATCCGCCATGTTTGGCGCTCAAAAACAATCATAAAGCCCTCGTGCTGCAGGAATTAGGTTTGCTTAAGGTGAGCAGCTGTTGTGCAGTGAGGGGTTTGCATCTTTAATAAACTACGACAGCTTTGGTTCATTGAACAGTAAGATTGATTAATAAATCCATATGAAACAGTCCCTTAAAAGTCACGTCTCTCTTTCAGTTTCGGGCTTTTGCGCGTTTTGCACTCACACTACAAGCGTACCACACCAAAGACCAAGTGAACCACATTCAGCGCACTCACACTTCTCAAACGATCCGGGAAACAGGCCTGGACACGGCTCAGATAGCATAGTGTGAGTAGGCCCTTTATGACCACAGTGTACCCATCTTCTAATGGCTACCTCCTGCAAGATAACGCACCATGTCATATAGAGCAAAATATTTCAGATTGGTTTCTTGAACATGACAATAAGTTCACTGTACTCAAATGGCCTCCACAGTCACCAGACCTTAAAAAAAAATAGAGCACCTTTGGGATGTGGTGGAATGGGAGATTCACATCATGGATGTGTAGTTGACAAATCTGTAGCAACTGCGTGATGCTATCATGTCAATATCGATTAACTCTCTAAGGATTATTTCTAGTCCCATGTTGAATATGCCATGAAGGTTTAAGCAGTTCTGAAGGCAAAAGGTCCAAGTCTTTACGAGTAAGGTGTTCCTGATATATTGGCCAATGTTAAATAAAATAGTGTATATTCGAATAGGCGATGACACCAAACACTTCACATTAATTTACTTAAAAAAAATCTAAATGGTTAATGTTTTGAGCACACCAGTCCTTCATCCTGACTGGAACCCTTTTAGGTGTTTTAGCGTTTTCGCCTTTTTAAAATGTATTTACACTTATCTGATAAATGTGGTAAACCACTTTAAAATAGTAATTCCTGTGATGACAACTGAATGTTGAAAACCCTTGTTATTATATGAGACTGCAAACTGGCCTAATGCCATCTGAAAATTCATCTTTGCCTCCACATGAGTTACATTTTTAATTGTTAAAATGTAAAGCATCATAAATGAAAGTTCACAAGAGAACAGTTCCTGCTGTGTTTTAATCAAATGAATGCAGCTTTAGTTTTAAATGGAGAGTTCACTTTACTCCTCCTTAAGTGATTCCAAATATTGAGAAACATTGAGTCCAATTGTAAGGCATGAGATATCACAAATACTTTGATGTCTTTTGAAAATTCAAATATGAGCCGAAAACAGAGACAATCAGCTCCACAACCCAGCAGGTGGGAATGCAGGAAAAGCCAGCTCCCCTTATTTCCTCCATTTACATTTGAATCCCCTGAAACCCCTTTTGTTTAACCACCCCAACTCACACAGTATGGTCATTTCAAAGTCTGAATGTTCGAAATCAACCCAAGTGACTTCATCTATCATGTTTGATATCATTTAAAATGTCTCAGTGTGACTGGTACAATGGTCATATTCTCTCAGAAACAGACATAATCAAAACAGTAAATATATAACTTCAGGTATCTTTTGAACCACTGTGAAGGGTGTGCTTTTTCTATAGGCAGAAACGCTTCCACTAAATGCAAATGCCTTTTGTTATTCACATACCCCTTTCCTTGAGAGGATTCTTGGGTTTTCTACCTAAGGGAAGGATTGAAAAATGTTGGTGCGATCCTGCTATTCAGATCAGCCCATAACATGGAAGCTCTAACGCTCCATGTTATGTATATTTTGAAGTCAGGTATGCATCTTTTAATCTTGGATTTATCTTTGATAATTTAATGTCTTGTATTGATCATTTATGAATTGACTGAATGATTTAGCATGATACACATTTACCTGACTATTTAATTGTTATGTTTGAACATTTTTTGCTTACTCTGTAATTATTCATTCCAGTAGATCATGTTGTATCCTTGTTTCCACACTTCCTGTGTCAGGTCAGTAGACGGACTAAAATCCAGTTGAGATGGAGCATTGGGCACACTAATTATATATTGATATGATTTTCCTAATGTTTTGATTGGAGTCAGATAAAACGAGGATAAATATATTCTAAACCACCTCATATTCAAATTGGAGTCAGATTTGAGTTAAATTTAAAGTAAATCAACATTGTGCACTGGAAACACCAAACAGGCATTGAACCTTCATCCACCAGTGGACACCTCTATTGGACCAACTGGATGGACCTTACACAATCTTTGGCTTTAAATGCACGGTGCTAATGCTTTATTCATAGGTTGTTGTAAAAGGCTCTGTTTATTGTAAAACTCACCCTTCAACTATTTTTGAGAAGTTAGTTATTTTTTAAACAAATACAGAAATGTACAATTTGGAATAAACAATTCTAAAAGAAGTTTTGAAATGTGTGTATGAAATATTAGTAAATACATAAATAATAAACAGTAATTGTGGATTACTTTCATTATTTTCACTATGAAATGGAGAAATGGAAAGAATCACACCAACATTAGACTTTTGTAAACCAATTTAATCAATCAGCAGTAAACAAAACCATCAAAGATAAAAAGCACAGCTTATAAAAGTCCTGCAGGTGGTGTGTGAAATGGGTGATCAGACATGTTAGCTAACATTGGCACTTAAAAACATGACACATCGGTCTAGAACATGAAAAACTTGAGTTCAAAAAACATCTTTTTGGTAAGGAAATGCTTTGCCATTCTCTCCCCTCTGCTTTTGATTACTCTGTAGTTGCAAACTGGTCAATCAGTATGAGCACACCATGACTGTTCAAGGCACAAAGAATGTTTCCATACAAAGTGAAAGAGACCAAAACCAAGCCGACAGTAAATTCAGATCTGTTTTTGGCTGAAATGATTGGACCAGCTGAAGCTGTCTTTGTCTTCGCTTGATGAGGCGATTATGCGGCAACTGAGCATTCTCCTGTAGAACACAAGTTTACAGTCCAAAGTGAATTATAAGTTGTTGTTTTTTTGAGTATTTATACATTACAAAATTTTATGAAGCAAAAAAATTACCATTTTGTGGAAGCATGACAATGTTTTCCTCAAGGATGCCAGTGTCCAAACAAAACTGCCTGAACTTCTCCTTCAAGTCATCGACCATTTCTGGAGTGCGACCTGTGACACATTTAGAGTCTGTTTAGCATTGAAAACATTATACCCTTTTACTTTCCTGCTCACAGATGGCTTATTTGGCAATCGTTTCTGCTAAATTCCCCATCATATGTTAGTTTAGTATTCACTGATTTTATTTGAAAGCTTAAACCTCAAAATACCATTTTAAAAATTTGGCTTTACAAGGCTACTTTAAAACAACATTAGCGAGCTCTGCTGTCAAGTGGACGATATAAGTTTCACAATCATTTTAATATAGGTATACATTAGATTTAATTTTCTTGACAAAATCAATCCAACAAATCAGAAAAGGTCTGATAGGTAAATTTCAGTGTTTGGTGAGAGAAAGTTTGCACTGTGATGGAGATTGATTGAGTTTCGGGTGTCACCTAGTGGAAATGTTTGGTATAACTCTTAATTTAAAATTTGGACTAACTTGGTTAGATGCATGGCTTTAATTTTATAGCAATATTTATTGTTTATATAACCATAGTTGTGCAACAAATATCATGGATAAACTATAGCGATTGCAGCAAAACATGCACGCTAATTTGTGGATATGCTACATGATGCAACAAAACATGTTTTTGTTTTATTCTAGTTAAACCGTGGTTAGTTTTTGTAATATAAATATTTAATTAATTACAACAATCTAAGTTAAAAGCTTAATCTATTGTTACAGAAATGTCCTTACTGTAGAGTTTGTTGAGGATCTCAGATACTCCTCCTTTGGTCTTGATGGTGTGAAAAATTGCGTACTCGTCAAACTTGGCGTCAACCACGCGCATGTCATTGTCATTTCCCCAACCTAAAAAATGTAAAACACATTTTAGCCAAATAATTTTAAATACAGTGAAGTAATCTAACCAAAACATCTTTCACTCCTTACGCTGGCTGTAGAAGACAAATCTTCCAGGAGTCTCGGTTTTCTTGGCGAGGTAAGTCATCCTCCAGCAGGAACCATCACTCCTGACAAACAAATGAAACAACAAGTTAATATTTTTCAAACTCTTTACATTTGACACTATAATGAAGCCAATTTAGGCTTACTTCAGGTTAGAGTAACTGAGGTCAAGGTCTCCCTCCTGGGTGGGCACCAGCATGGCAGTTCCCATCTTCATGTCATCCTTATGACTGACAAACCATTTTGCGTTTGTAGCAAAGCCAACGAGATACCACTTTCCTTCCACCTGAAGAAAATTTGTTAGCGCAATTATCTCACTTAGTGCCCTTCAGTTTAACGCATGGTGTAAATGCTCGTATATTTGAGGAATTTACCTTTTGCAGGTCGAAGTCAGTCATGGGCATGACATCAGCCGAGGCGAAAACTGCGCAGAGCAGAAGGCACAGCATCTTTACTACGACACTCGTCATGTTTGCAGAAGTGTTGCTTCTCTCTCTGTTTGCAGTTCACAAGGCAGAGTCTGGTGTGTGGAGGAGACGAATGGCAGCCCCTTTTTATCCTACTGACTGAGCCCCCCAAAGCCGAGTCCCTCCCTACTTGCAGACCCAGCAGGAATGATAATTACAGTCGTTACACAACTGCTAACACGCACGTGTGGTTTTTTCCAGGTAAATATGCGTGTTTGATGGTTTTTATGACCCTCATATCGATGTCCCTATTTTACCTTCTTATGTGATAAGTGAGCCGTGCTAACTCAGGGATGTATTTATTTAAAACAGTATTATATTAATTATAAAAAAATGTATATTATATGTAGGCTATATAATTGTAATGCAACATGCAGCTTCACTCAGTGTTCATATCTGGTGCACATTTAATAATTTTGGTAAAACTACAATAAAAGCACCTTTGTTATTATAAGATAACGTGTTCAGTTAAAATGTTCATTTTTTACAAGATTTAAGGAGTTTAGATGCAAAAACCTCTAAATGTTGTTTGATATTTTCTTCTAAAATTAGCATTTTCTCAGACTCTTGTGTAAGCTCAGAAATTGTACTTTTATTGAGACGAGTAAGTTATTTTCATTGCTTTTAAAGTGAAATACTTGAGCATAAACATACACTGTAAAAAGTATATGATCTGTTAGTCCTGACCACATATGTTTTTGGGTCATTGTAACTTATTAAACTAAGTTAATCATGTTTTAACTTAATTTTATAAGTTACCCAAGCTATTTTTGGTCAGTTTGACATAATATAAGTTTAACAGACTCAAAAACGTCATTTGATTCTGCTTAAAAATTTAAGGCAACCAGGATTTTTTTACAGTGTAAGAGGCTAAGAAAAATGACTATTTTAGCAGAAAATTTCTAATGGCATTTAGAGGTTTTTGCACTTGAACATTTCATATATTCTTTCTATTTTCATATATTCTTATCTATCTTAATGTTAATGCAAATATTATCATTGTTTGTCTAATTATTTCTCAATATCAGTCAGTGTATGCTAACTAACTAATGTGGATAACAAATTAATATTGCATATCGTCAGCAACAAGGCTCTTTAACTGAAACTAAAACCACACACACAAAAACACCATTTTGTTATATAAAATAAAATACACCAAAACAAATTCATTGATGCTAGCAATATTTCTCATTAGTTTACTCAATGTATAAAGTAAATACTAAGATAAAAAAATAGACGTTTAAAATAGACAAATTAGGAATTGTGTAATGGTGTGCATCTTAAAAATGTTTTTTGCAGAGATGTCTTAGACTAACATTTTTTTGTATATATGTGTGTGTGTTTGGGGCGGGGGTTTGCGCAGGGGGCGGCTTTCAGAGCAGATCTAAGAGGGTTTTTTTCCTAATATGAAGAACATTTGGTAATTTGAGTAGTTAATAATGGGCTAATGATGATGTGCCCCTCCAAGTAAAGACAATATAATTATACAATAACATTTTATGAGTTAAGCATAAACCGATGTGGAAAATAATGCATAATTAACAAACAATCATATACTAACAAGTAATTAAGGTAGCCATTATTCACACATGAACTCAAGTGACTAAAAGTTAGTTCATGATTAGCGCATGCATTAACGCATCATTAATTTATCATAAAGTAATGTTTAGTTTACATATTAATACATCATTATTCATGCACTGTTATTTTAAGGTGTTACCAAACATTTTATGAGCAATTTTTTTTACTTTATGAGACATGTGCACTTGTATGATTACATGACCGTTTAAAGCACATAATGTAACCATTCATAGCAATTCTTTTATTATTAGTATTTTATTCATTTATTATTGTGTAAAATAGATCAGTGTAGATCATAAATGATGTTAATGAGACTAAAAGAAATCTGCAGCATAGCATCTAAGATATCTAAATCAGTCTCAGTTTATCTAAACATGCACTTTCTATCTTATAGCCTTTTATTTTCACCTCAGAAAGTTGCACAGAGTCAGTTTAGTGCTGTAGAAACTCATTTCGAGTTCAACAAAGTTCATTTGTGTTTGATATTTTTCCGTAAGAAAATGATTTCCTCAGGATACTTTTTTTTGGAATGTTGGATGTGCATCATGTTTACTTCGTTGTGTTGTGTAACTCTGAACGGGTGGGCAGGCAGAGTCCTGTTCTGACACTTACATCACAAACCACACCAATTATACCAAGATGCCTTTACCTTGTTTTATAAGCACTGTTTTGTTCCCTAAAATGGCTTGAGGATAAACACAACTTTTCAAGCTTTACCAAAGATGCAACCATATCAACTATTATAGAGGTGCACCTAGCAAATTAGTGCTAATGCTGAAAAACTCATAAAACAATGAAATTAAACAACCATTTTATTTCTGTACTCCTGCAGGCTGCTTTCTCACATTGCTCAGGGTCTACCAAAGTTAGCCAGTCAGTTTTAGGTCAGATCTGGGGGACAAAGCAATGATAGAGTTGTTAAGCAAAAAATAGACCTTATGCAAAATTATACTGTTTTGTTACAAAACCAAATTCTGAGGTTGTGCAAGTTTTGCAACATGTGCCTTTACGAAAGATAACGTGATGCACACGTGGATTGATTGGTTCTTTTTGCAGGATGTAAAAGTTCTTTCAGCCAATCAGTAAAGGTTGCTGACACCGAGGGGACAGAAAATGCTGTTGAGTAATCTGATTCATTTACTGAATCGGTTCGCTTATATGATTCATTTAAATAATTTAACAGAACTCCTCGCGCGGGATTGTATTGCATATATGGTTTAAAAGTTAGGCTAGTCAAATTAGCCTAATGTTCAATGAAACTATTTATCTATAACGTATAATGTTTGTATTGCACAAAATTATCTGCTTTAATTCAAAATATTTGCATACGCGAGACGAATCGGTTCATTTGGATCATTTAAATGAATTGCTACAATATAACGACAAATTCGCAGATATTAGGCGTACTAGAAAAAGTTAACAGCTATAAATTTACTTCATCGTTTTCACGTCGTTCTTAAAACAAATAATAACCTCCAACTTATTTATCGGAGGAAAAACAAAGGTCTTACCTAGAACTTTTTCTGCTGACTCACAGAAACCTGCAAAAAGGAATCGAGAGTCAAAAGTGTTCATTAACTATTTTAATATAGGCGTATGAGTTAATTATGAATAGTCTCACCGTAGTCAGGAAACTGGAAAACTACGTCCAATCCCAAATTGAATGTCTTCGCTCGATCCTCAAATTTATCCACTATATTATCAGGTACTTCCCCAGACCGACCTTTCAAAAGAAATTATTATTTGCATCAATCAATTCACTTTAAGCTGTTCCAACAGTATTGTGCTTTACAAATGTTTGCCACTTAAGCTTTTTATAAGGCTAATCATAATGGAAACAAAATAAACGCATATAAAAAGATGCTATTATAGCACCACGAGTGGAAAAGTTTAAAATATACCAACACTTACCATACAGTTTCATAGTAATTTTCTCTGCTCTCTTAAAAACCAGCATAGCATATGTGCTGTAGTCCGTCTCGAGCACCATTATGTCCACATTGTCAGACGGTCTCTTGCCTGCACAAGAACAGAATGAAAACACATGCCCTAAGTGATATTTAAACTTAACATATTTAAAAGCTATCATATCAAATACATACTGAAATTATGCAGGAAAAATCTCCTTGATATACATGCTTTATTACCTTAATAGAAAATCTTACATGCATTTTACATTTAGCCCTAACCAAATATATGCATAGTCAAAATTATTAGCCCTCCTGTGAAATATGAAACATTTTACAAATATTTCCAAAGTATTGTTAACGGAGAGAAGATTTTTAAACATAATAATAACACATTTCTTTTGCCATGGTGATATTTTAATTTTGCAAGATGCTATTTAGCTTAAATTGGATTCAAAGGCTTAACTTTTTTATTATGAATGGAAAATGTTTTTTTTTCTGGTTCCAATAAAAAAAACTCTTAAGAGGCTAATAATGTTGACCTTAATTTTTTTATTTAAAAAATGTTTTTATTCCAGCCAAAGTGAAAGAAATAAGACTGTCCACAGCAGAAAAATAAATCTTTTGAAATACTGTGAAGATTCCATTGCTCTGTTAAACAGCACTTTCATTCTTAAAGGAGGGTTGATCATTTTGACTTCAACTATATGTATTTATTTATTCATTTATTACTGATAAATACACTCTCAAAAATAAGAGTGCAAAAACTGTCCCTGTGATTGCACCTTTTCAAATTGCTCACATTTGTACCCAATTTGGATTCAAATTGGCTCCTTCAAGCTACAGATTACAAGAAGAGCAGAAGTAGAAGTTATGACTAACCAATTTTGCATATTTATTTCAGAGAGGGTACATATACTGTCATTAACAGTCTAGGTCAGAAAATATTTCTTAACCAAACAGAACTATAGATATAGTGGGCCTTCGTCTGCACATGCCTTTGAGGAAGAGCTGCCCAGGGGTTTTCGTTTTCATGTAGTTCTGCTTGATCTCCCAGCACACGAAATTGCTTACATTTGGAAAGAGCACAATAAACAGAAGGAGAATATGCATGTGGGTCAAAGAAAGAAACATATTGTTATACACGTTATACGTTTTTACACACACACACACACACACACACACACACACACACACACACACACACACACACACGCACACACACACACACACACACACACACACATGTATATATATATATATATATATATATATATATATATATATATATATATATATATATATATATATATATGACAATAAAATTGAGACACTATATTTGTTCTGAGCTGTGAAAGAATAAATGATTATACCTAATGTTATTTGATGATAAATTCTATAAAATATCTTGAAGAAAAGTGGCAAAGTATCAAGTGGTTATGATTAATGAATAGAGCACTATGTTAGCAATACAGTAAGTGCTCATCTATTTGTTTTAAATATGCCTGACAAGATGTATTACTTGCATAACTTACTAACAATTATAACAGTGAATGAAATCTTAATTCTTAAATCATGACAAAATGATTACCACTTCATTAAAAAGCACACACAAGTCTAACTTAAGGTAGAATGCGTGAGAATAATGCCCATGTAAAATAATTTGACTAAGCAAGTCTAAAATATACATCATTCTTTGCATGCATCATGTATAATTATGTAATTTAATGTATAAATGTTTAATTTTAATAATATTAATTTAAATCCTAAATGTGACAAAATAAAAATCCATATAAAACAAGAATTAATTAAAATAACAGATGATTGTAGAAATAACAATATTAAAACATACTATTTATCTGTTAGCATTAGTTTTTGTAATATTTGTTAGATATATTTATCCAAGCATTTAAAAATGGCATGTCAAATAAGTCTGAAAAAGCAAGTTGTATCTTGACTCTCCGGTGCTTTTGCTTGCATCAGCTGTAATTGATGATAGTCTGCAGCAGTTGCCAAAGGGAACTCTTTTGAGGTTGTGTAAGACTTTATGGCCTACTTGTGAAATTTTGTACTCCTAATATGAAGCACAGTCATCATATTTTTATATCATATTGATTACTTTTAAATATTATTTATTATTTTTATTTATGTATGTATGTATTTTTGAGCAGAAAAAAATATTGATTATGTTAGCTGTCATAACCAAGCTGTAATAAATGACCAATATTTGGAGAAATGAAATCTAACTAGTGTTGAAAATACAAAATAATTAATCATCAGCTCGCAGTGAGTAAATTGCTCTCCCTGGTGGCTGAAGCAGGACTCACAGTTTTCTCACGGTGCCCACAGTCACAGTGTCCGCAGTAATGTTCCAGGTGAGGCTCGTGCTCTCCGTTTTAAAGCCGCTCTCCAGGAGATTCTTACACCGAGAAGCCACTGTGAGCAGGTGCCACTTGCCACTCATCTAGAGAGCGAGATTTTAATCAAACATACCGACACGTGTAAATCGTTCAGTCATAAACTGTGCGTGCATTTATGAAGAAGTATTAATGCCCTATTTTGAAACAACACCGAGCAAGAGTAATGACCTAGTATGGGAAGCCGTTTTTACATTTAACACAAATGTCATCTCATTTTTTGAAAAAAAAAAAAAAACTATTTGATATTCGATATAGCAGCATATGCACATACATGTCAACATTTGCATGTAAAAATAAAGAATACCCCAACACCCCCTTCCAAAAAAAAGAGAAGAAAATCCCCAAATTACTCATCTAGAGCTGTTTCATTTTAAATAAACAGTTAGAATGGTCAGTAATATGTACTATTTTTATTATTTACCAAGAAAAATCCATTGAAAAAGCTGCAAAATAATTAGCTAGCAGTTTAGCCTATTAAAATGAGCTGTTATAAAGAATTGAACTAATTTATCAAATCTCCTTTACCTTTTCTTCACTGTGTAATTAAAATATTCTGATTAAAGAGCAGCAAATAAATCTCTTAGATCTTTCCTTTTTCCTGATTTCATTAAATAACAGAGGTGTCACTTTAAAATGGACGCATTAAACATTATAATGAAAGCAATTGATCGCTTTCCTAACTTTTAAGCTCATTTAAAACAACATTTGTTGTATTTAAAAGAAACCTCACCAAGATCGACATGTTAATATTTTTATGTGGATATGTCTATTCAAACATTCACCCAAAGCCCAGAGTGTCCACTTTTGCTCCACTTCAAATCGCATGTACAGAATTCATTTGGGATACAGCGTCTATTTGTTAATGGAGCGGGTCTGACAATGTTTTCATACCTGAATAGAGTGGAGGAACTATGATGTCACCTTGTAGGCTAATCTGCTGCTAGCATAAAACTGGTTCCCGTGGCAAAATCCCTATAGGATTTTCCCATAGGCTTTTTGAAGATAATCTGTATAATCCTCACAATAAAATACATCTTTTAGCCCTTTTAGATCTTAAATGCAAACAGCCGAAAAAAGCCCATATAGTCACAACTGCTATACATTTTAGGGAGTGTAAATATTGCAGTTATGACAGAGTTAAATGTCTTCAGATGAAGAGAAAAACAGAAAAATCACTTGATCACGTTAAATCACAGTTAATGTGCATGTATTTTTACACATTTATTCACACGTTTGTATTACTGAAAGCAGGAAAGAGACAGGCAGCACTGCAGTATCTTCATAACATCGTTTAATTAAAATAAGCGATCAACAAATTAATCTTGACAGTTTTTATAAATGAAGGCATTATCTACACACAATATGAATTCCCAATAAGAAAAATACTACAAACTATAAAATACTATTCATGAAAATATTTAAATAACAGACAAATTTAAATGCCCAATGCAAGTGGGCTGCGCTCCAGACCAGATCAGCTCGATGACGTATAATTAATGTCTCCGGCACCGCCTGTAGTCCCATTTAGCAACTAGATAGCAACCGTCTTTTTAAAGAAGCGCAACCAATTTACAAAATAAAGAGTGTGCTGTAACTGAAGTGTTTTATGTCGTAGAATAAAACGTGAAAGCATCTTCAGTTTGTGTTAGCCATGGACCTTATTTAGGTGATTTAACTGAAATGTAAAAAAAAATAATAATAACTTTGGGACGAGGGAACCGGATATGCTAAAATTCTAACTCGCTTCCAGGTTTTTGCATACAAATTGACGTCATAGTTCCCATAAAATGAAAGCACAGAACAGATGCACATTTAAGAGCAAGGGGTGTCCCCTGGTGGTTTGGCGGTATGGTTTGCCTATGGGCCTATGGGTTGCCACCCTTTATGGACAGATTAAAAATACAGGAAAATATGAGAAAATACCTGTATGAAATGATAGCAGGATAGAATTGTAAAATACGCGTATCACGTATAAGTTGTCAAGATATGTTTGTGTCTATGTATTTTTTAAATTAAAAAGTGACAGATGAGGGGGCTACCCAGATGTACCCAAATTTTTCTAAATGGTTTCAGGCATGCTTGTTAAACGTGTTCTATATAAAACAAGTTTTGCATTTATTTTCCCCAGGTTTTTTTTTTTTTTCTAAAAAATCATATCTGAATAAATATGATCGGGGGGCAAACATGTTCCCTTCTATGTAAAATTTGAATAGGAGGAGAACATGTGTGTTCAAGATGAAGAGCGACGGGTTGTGGGTTGTCTGGGTTATTGTGTGTGTTCAAGTTAAAGAGCAGGGGAAAAAAATCCTCCATTTTAAAAAAAACACAGACCCTGGCATGTTTTAAAAACAAAATAAATAAAAATAGTGTTTCAGTGACCTGATACAGCATTTTTGTGTTGACAAGCAGTCCAACAGCATAGAAAAAAAGCTGCTGTTTTGAAAACACCCATATTTGTGTGGACAGCAGGGACTAAGGCTGTGACTAAAGCCATACAGAAGTTGTAGTTTTATGTTCTTATTCAGCGATTCTGCTTATTAACAGTAGGAGTTCATCATTCTCTGACCAATCAGCACTTTAACTCTGCTCCAGTGCTTTTTTGATCTGAGGATGATGTTGACATTTATTTCTGAAAAAAAAAAAAGTTGTAACATGATAATTGCCTTTATTTGCGAAAGTTTGCCTTCATTTGGCATCCTGAAATTAGGGATAGGAAGTTGAAAGCCTCATGTGACAAAGAAAATCAGTTTCTTCTTTTATTTGTTTTATTTGGTTGTTTGTTTGCGTGTCATTAAGAAATAAACATGGATAACATTTAGAAAATTACTTATAATAGAAAAAATGACAACTATGAACTTCAACAATTGATGCCAATGGAATGTTTTTTCAACACCAATGGCGGCTCATGGACCTTAGTTAGCGGTGTTTTTGCACTTTTGAAAGGTATACAATTTCTAAAAATAAAAACGTGTGCTTTTACATGAGAACATGAGTCTGATTCCAGCGACGCTCCAGGGACAGACGAGTCTTCGCTGAGGCCATCTTCCAGCCTCCACCGCGGTGACTGAATATCTGCACAAGACTTTTGGCCAGCGGAGAAATTAAAATGGTCGTGCCCAACTGAGTCTGGTTCTCTCAAGGTTTTTTTTCTTCACTCCTATCAGGTGAAGTTTTTTTCCCCTCTCCGCTGTCGCCACTGGCTCGCATGGTTCAGGATTGGTAGAGCTAAACATCGATGAATTTGCTCTTCAGTTTTTGAACTCTCAGTAATGATTTTAAATCACACTGAACTGAGCTAAACTGAACTGAACTGAACTTAAACACTAAAAACTGAACTACACTGTTCCAGTTACTATGACCATTTATGTGAAGCTGCTTTGACACAATCTACATTGTATAAGCGCTATACAAATAAAGCTGAATTGAATTGAATTTTAACATCAGCTAAGATCATTTAAATGAACTGTAAAGCAATTCCTGGAACTATTTAAGTCTATATTATTCACGTGATGATCGAACAGTTTGGATTTCTTCTTTTGCTGGATCTGAAATTGCTCACTACAAAAAAAAGTGTGTTCTTTATAGTATGAATGGAGCTCGAAGATATTGCATCAGCCATTTGTCGTTATCATGTGACCTACCTGCATCAGGTGTGTCGATTTACTCCCATTCATGAATTTTCTAGCGGGGCATTATGAATATAGCATAGCGTCCATCGTATGCACACTTCAGAATCTCATGAGAAGTAGTAGGTCATCCGGGTACTTCACGCATACTGTTTTTTGAATACCATGAATTCAGACATACTACTCGACTCACATGCTGTTTTTAATGTACTATATAGTATGGAGGTCACCTGATCAATATCGTTCAAGAGTGCAAGCAAATTGTTTTAAGTTAACTAAAATTATCAGAACAAATTGTTTTCCCTCAGTGGATTAATTGTTTACTTTAAGACTACCAATGTGCTCTAGCAAAATACACATTGTAAAATTGAATTTCATGTGGACTTAAAAAATAGCTTCAAGTAGCATGAAATATACACCCAAATGTTAAACTGGCTTGCCACAGGGCTATAAATGTGAATGTCGATCATTTAATTCAAGGTGCCAAAACGAATTAACTTGATTGCGGTGTTATGAAGTATGTCGAAATTACCTGATCAATGTTGATGTTCTGACCTGGAGCCAATGTGTCGATAGCTTTCTGTGTCTCGGTTTTCTTTGGCTTCGGAGGTTCTGGTTTATATCGCGCTCTTCGTGTCTCTACAGGTTCCCAAAAACTAAGACACGCGAGCACAAAGAACAAATACAGCCAGAAGCGAATCATCACAGCAATTTTAACTAAGAAATAATTTCCTTAGCGAAGAGGATTGCTTATAATAGTCAGTCAACTGTCCAGTTTCCAAACATAGATTAGGATGATGACCCTCAGTTCAGGTTTATCATTAACTCATACCATACCCATACAAATACTGGTCACATACTGGTGGATTTGTGGCAGTGTTTACTTTATTACATTTATTTACATTCTTTATTTTGTCATAAAGGTATTTACATTTGTCAATTTTGTCATACTTTAATTTGTCATAATGTTTATCTATATTTTTGAGACAGCACAATACCAATATTTTACCTTCAGGAACGTTAAGAAACCCATATTAGAAAAATAAAAGGTTTGTTTCTCTGACCAATTGTTATTTTCCGAGAAAAAAAAAAACCTTTAAAGAATAAAATAAATATTAAGATTTTGCTCAAACCTGCATAGTAAATTTATAGAAACTTCAGAAAAATAATTGGTTTTGTTAAATATATGTATCTATAATAATATTTATAGTGATAAAAACATAATTGTTTAATGATTTATTTTTCATAGATTTACATTGTAATATCCTATAGTTGTAATATTAGTTATAACATTATAACTTATTAATAATATCTATATTATATAAGTATTAACATTCTATAAAATAATAATATTATTAATAATATTATTTATTTATTCTTATGCAGTGCCACTCAAACATAAAATATATTATGCAATAAATATTTACACCTTTTTGAAGTGGTACAAGATGGATGTTTAATTGAACCATTTCACAAACACAGCCTGCAAATATGTATATATATATATATATATATATATATATATATATATATATATATATATATATATATATATATATATATATATATATATATATATATATATATACGTGTGTGTGTGTGTGTGTGTGTTTGTGTCTGTATTTGATAAGAGTAAATATTGTAAACTAAATGCACGCTCAAACCAAAGATGATAACTATAACAACAATGTACTGTGGACACATCAACTTGAAATAATTGAAATCACTTTCTGAGATTTTTCCAGATCATGAAGGCACATTGACCATCAGAATCCACCCTGCTTCAAAGAGTTCAAGCATGTAAAAATCAAATGACAAAACTGCAGCACACTGTGATTTTTAATCAATGTTTATTTCATTTTCTTTTCATTAAATTGTCATTCATGTCATCAATGCGTTGTGGGACTGTAGTTACTTTTCTCAGATAAGCTGTTAAACAATTTTGTGTAAATATTTCTTTATTTTCTTATTTTCTGATTTTTCTCAAAGTTTAAATGCTGTGATTCTCCTCATAGCTGGATAGTTTGGTTAAAATGTTAATAATAATAATAACAACAAAGACTTAAGCAGATAAGCAGATCCCTATTAGACGTGCCAATATTAAATGCTACAATAAATCATGATAATGACCATGCATAACATGTTTTCATGAATAGGGCTGCTCAATATGATGTTTCAGCATCGATATCGCAATGTGCTCATTCGCCATAATCACACCGCAGCATTTTCAATGTGAAGTTGGGATTATTATAGTTGATCAGCAATGAAGAATGCACAGTGTTTATTTACATTACATTTGATTATTCAATATTAGGGGTAGGACAAAATATCTATGCTGGTTTATTGAGATTTATTCCACTCCCGGTACACTAATGATGTAGCCAAGTATCAGGATTTATGTAAAGGTACAAAAGATCTGAACTATTTCATTAGCCTTGCACTGCTACCATTTACCACTTAGATGACTGTACATGAGGTGGTGCTTCTCATAGTGTCAGATCAAACATATCAATGTTGCAATTCTACAAAATATATGTGCTGTTAATGAAATACATCTTCTACATTTTTGATGCATCCACCCCTTCATTTATGAATATGATGATATATTGTGGATGGTTAATATTCGTAATAATCATAATCGGGGGCAAAATATATTGATATTGTATCGTACCATATTACTGTACCTGAATATCTGACTGCTAAATTTATTTTTATCTTTGCTCAATTTTGTTTTTATTAATTATTATTTTTATTTATATAAATCCATTCCAATTAGAGCTATTTAAAGAAATCTACCAAAATTGTATTAATTTCGTAATATATACATGTATCGCTGGGAAAAAAAAACACAATGTTAGATTTTTCCAGCATCGTGCAGCCCTAATCATACACACTTTAAAATACAGTGAATAGTTATTTTATTATATAAACCATTTGTATGGCTTTTCAGAACATTCAAAGTTTTGTATTAACAGTAGAGTTCAAGACTTATTAGGTTATTTATTTTAAAATACAAATAATTTCATATGTTAACACTGCATGTTTTGCATGTCTCCTTTGTCACATCCATTACAGGTCTTTAAGTTTTCTTTTTCTGAACTTTCAAAAAATTGTCAGTTGGGTTTAGGGAAGTCGTTAGGGCGGGTCACAATAGGAGCTCTTAACAATACTATTGGTTAAGTTTAGAGATGGGGAGGATGGGGGATTGGTCGGTTGGTTGGTCGGTCAGCCAGTCAACAGCGACCTCTGGTGGATTTACATGAGAAGAGCAGGCGCAAAATGGCACTCGCAAGAGAAATTTGAGAACTGAAAACACTTACACAGTGGCAGTGGCTCCTGGGACATATTTGGTGCTCTCCAGATATGTTTATAGGGGTTCGTAATCAGAATGAGCCTGTGTTGAACCCAATTGCTACGTCTTTAATATAACGTAATAACCCCAGGGGTTGCAAAAAAAAAAAATAATAATCGAAAGGCTGATGACTTTTTTTTGCATGTTATTTTTTAATGTTTATTATTAACATTTTACATAATTAACATTCAACCATTTTGGAAATCGTTAAGCAAATTGTCTTGCGACCCTCACTTTGGGACACACTGCTTTAAGCCATGCCCGAAAATGAAGAGCTCTGTTTGTAATTGTACATGCTAAAAGAACCTTTCTTTGCAGCAGTGATAATATCATTATATCATGTATTATGATAAAAGTCAAATACATTTAACAGTGTCGTGTGCTTAATTCCTATTGGAAAAATCAATGGGAAAAATCAATATGGAAACCAATGTTGCAGAAAAAGTGGGCAGTCAATATAAACTCAAATGTTTGTTGTTGTGGATGCTAATATAGTTATTGTTATAGTTATCATTTTAGGAGTGAACCGGCACGACTCATAGCACAGAACTAAGGACATTTGTTATTCCAATGCTATTTGTTTTTGTTATTTGCACTATTGGATTTGTTGGCATTACTTTTCTCTGGGTTTAAAGTTCAGTGCTACACTGTTGATGCAGAATCGCTGTCCGGTCGGATCAGGACCATCCTCAAAGACATGTCCAAGGTGGGCATCACACTATAAAACAAAATCAAACCAAACAAAAATCAAACAAAATGTTATTCTGGGAATCTGAAAATAAAACTGACTATATAATTAATACAAACAAGACTCACATGTTTGCAGATGACCTCAGTTCCTGTGCTGCCAAGTGAGTTATCAGGGCGGCGCACAATGTTGGCATGACTCTCATCTTTTTCCCAAGTCCCATGAGCCTCACAGAATGACGGCCAGCCAGCTCCTGCGTCATATTTTGCTTCTGAGCTGTCCAAGTCAAAGGCAGAATCATATTTATTTAGTTTTAATTCATTCTGATATGCCATTATGCAGTCAGACTTTAATGGTTATGTATTTACTAACATCAACAAATAACAAACAATTCTTTTATTACATAAAGTTGATTGTTATTTGTGTTAACTCACAGTGCACTTACTAATGGTAATAAGCACAACTTTGGATCATAATAACGAATTAGTAACTGTTGGACTGTGATTTATAAATGCTGTAAAAGTATTGATCATTCTTTTGCTGGGTTCACTCAACTGCGTCACTTGCTCCAATTTACTCAGGGGATGTTTTTCACTATTGCACTGTTCTTAATTTGCCCTTTTTTCCACATTTGCATTGACTTTGGATTTATTTCACTTATGCAAATAATTAATTCCTACCCAGGCTCATTCTGAAAACATACCGCTATATACAATATTGGAGAGAGAGCCAAATACGTCGCAGGAGCTCTTTTTTGCGGTATTTGTTTTCACTAATCCACCAGAGGCTGCTGTGTACACTTTTTGGGTTCTCAAATTTCTCTCACGAGTGCTATTCATGCCTGCTGTTCTCATTTAAATTCACCAGAGGCCACTGTCGACTGATTGATTGATTGTCGACTGATTGACTGACTGACCAACCAATCGACTGACCGAACCTCCTCCTTCCCTAAACCCAACCAATAGTGTTTTCAAAAGCACAGACTGACCTGGACACCCACTTCCCTAAACCAAAACCCTTATAAGGCAAGTCATTTCACTCGGTGGCCATCATTGAAATGCCTCTCGGGCAGTATGCTCGGACATTCTGTCTGAATGGGTAAACAGTAAAATCTCTAAAATTGTTTGCCAAGCTTACGATTACGTTTCATATTACAAATAACCAATACATTTAAACAACAACTGTCTGTTTTTATTTCTAAATGTTCATAATACACAAAATCTATAGAAACTCACATCTGGTCTAAGCCCCTCCCCCGAAGAATTGTCATTCTATTGCAATCAATGATTGGCTACTGAACTAGAAGGTGGGGCTTCATTTGCCATATAGACAGTTTTCTCCATTTAAAAGTATACGAGTGACAAGTCTTGTGTATTCTATAGGTTTTGCCTAAAACCCACAGAGATTATTAAAAAGCAATCCAGAAAAAAAGCCATCATCTGATTTTTACCATGTTTTTAGATTTTCCCACATTTTTACCCTGTTATTTACTTTTGCAATTGTGTTTATTTTATTTTTTGGCTTCTGTTTTAGTCTTCGCCTTGAACCCCTCCTCTCTGTGTCTCAAGTCTGCCAAAGTACATGACAAGCTACCGGACAAACTGGTAACAGCAGGAAAGCTGTCCACACGAAGGTAAGCAGTCAGCTGGTAAGGGAGAAAAGGAACGACGTCATACTGCCCCATTGCGTTTGTTTTAAAGACGAAATGCAGCCATATGTACTTCTGGCTACATAATTCGCAATCTTCAAAAACGTAGAAAGGGCTACATTTTTTAGAATGAGCCTATGTTGATTAATTCAGTGTTTGGTGTTAAGCTAGCATAACTGGGCACATTTTTATTTCAGTTTATATATTTTTTACTTTTAGTTCTTCTTTCCATTAAAATACAAATGTTATTTTATTCTGTATAAGACATTGAGATAAACCCTATTTCACCAAGGCCCACTCAATGTAAAAGTAAACCTATATTTCAAGAGTTGTATGGTGAAATATGAAGATATTCCAAATAAAGATATTTTAGATCCATGAGCTCCGTCAGAGATAACAACAGTCCAGAGACATTGATTCAAAGTCCAGAAAAGAGTTTAAGAATTGAGATTGAACATTGTCACAATATTTTCACAACATAATTCCTGACCCAATGATAGCCATTTTTGGTTGTTCAGATTTTTTTTTAGTCTCTCAAGTGTTCTTGTTCAAAAAGACATGATTATAGGCACAAAAAAAAAGCCTCTTTTCTGACTGGCTATCTGGGCTTACCTCAGCTTTACATTTGGAGAGAATAAAACACCACCTCTCAGAACCCTGCAAAATTTGATAAAATGTGGGATCCACTGTTTTATTTTCTACCAAACCAGATGGACCAATCATTTTCTTTAATATCTGAAGACTTGTAATCTATTGCAGTGTCTTTGTAGGTCATTTTTGTCTTCATTTGGTCTTTTTCATGGTTTCATTTACATTTTGCACAGATTATTGTTAAATGAAGGGTTTCTCTGTCTGTTCTTTGTTTTTTAATGTTTGCAATAATCATAATAAAAAATATTGCCATTATAGTTAGCAGTGCGTCATATTGCCCATAGTAAACATGCACAGATTCTCTTTTACAGTTTTTTAGCACACAAAAATGGTCTTGTATGATTACAGTTGAAGCACTGAAGTCAGATGGAATGTTTTGACAATGTTTTGGTTCCTTTTCTTCTCAGACCGTTGCTGTCTATGGAGGACGAAGGAGCTCTTAGATTTAACCTAAAACATATATATCCAAAACACTCCTTGAGAAACAATTAAACTAATCTGTTTCAAACTGGAAATAAATTGAGATTTGGAAGGACATCTGGATAAATAATTAAAACATGCAAAAGACTGTGAACAGAAGTAGATGAAGGAAGTGAGATTGTGGTTCTTGAATATCAATATGAGCTCATCAATGTAATCTAATCTTGCACTTTTACAGTTATTCATGCATGGAGAGAGGCTTCCATAAATATTTAGTTGGAATGTAAAGTTACATTTAAACAAAGTTCAATGGTGCAACAAAAACTAGTTAGCAGTGCTTAAGTTGTAAGTTAGTGTCTCTATGTGTTGTAATTAAGCTAAAATGTAGCAATACACTGCTGGTCCAATCAAACCCATAAGAGTAAAAAATAATAATAAGTTGTCAGTGGATGATTAAACTTTTGACCTTGTCATGAAGCCTTATTTATATCAAGTATGTCTTGTTTCTGGCATTTTTCAAAATAGATGTTGGACCTTTAGATTGCTTGTGGAGAAAAATAAACAGTATTGAACTTACATTGCTTCTTTTGTTGCCCTTCAGCTGAAAATTACAACAAAAAGCTGCACAATGAGGCATTTTATGTAAGTATTTTATATTTTGAGTTGTGTTGCATTAATAAACTAAACCTAGCACCAACTCACTAATTGCAAATATTTTATGTTTTTTAATACATGTAAACTTTCATGGGTTTTCAACATATCCAGTAACAGACTTCATGGTACTTACCGTTCTTAAGTATCAGTTACAAAAAAAAAAAAAACATCATAGTGTCTTAGTTTTCAAAAACTTACCTAAAAAGAGGCGAGTCACAGCAAACACAGTGATACATGCCCACCTCATTGTGATTCAAGTAGATGCCACTGAACGGCTAAAAATAAAGAGGTACTTACTCAAAGAGATGAACAAAGAACATATTTGAGCTATACAATGTTTATTTAACTTACCACCTCTGTGCCTTTTTCTCTTGTAACAACATATTGTTCTGGGGATAGTTTTCTCTGCCAGTCTGTGGACTGGTCATAACGTGTCAATGACTGCAAACCTGTAGGAACAGCCAAGACAAGAGTCATAAATGCAGCAAATCATCATATATTTTATAGTACACTAAATAAAATATGATGTTTATGATGATTTGTAAACGCAATTAGGTTATCCAAGTCTTTCCTAACTTTCTATAATGAAAATGTTTCAAACCAATTATATCATTTTAATAGTAACAGTTGAAATGTTCCCCATTTAAAGTTGATTTTATATAGTATATTTAATTATTTACCTATAACAAATGTAATCTTTAATGGCATCATACTCTAGGAAGTGTCATAATTATGTTAACACTTTTTTATTATTATTATAAAACCTCTAGAAAATGTTTCCCTAACTTTATGATTTATAATTTGAGTAAAACCGAAAATATTTGGTTTATTCTGTGTACTACTTATGACAAAATGCGGTCATTGCATTACAACTATGCATAAAATAAAACTGGTTTATTTAGATTTTTAAACAACAAAATATTAATGTTAATTTCAAATGAGATAAGAAATTAATATTTGGTGAAATAACACTGATTTCCACTTAATTTGTTGAATAGATGTTCGACAGATGATGATAGATAGATAGATAGATAGATAGATAGATAGATAGATAGATAGATAGATAGATAGATAGATAGATAGATTAATTTAATTAATTGTAAAAACTTTACTTTTTCGACTTGCACTTCAAACCATATAGTTCATTTCACAGGCCTTGTAAACTGCATTTGTGTATTCAGGTCATGCATGTTCTAAGCGACATGACTATAGAGTTCTGCACTTTGCACCGACTTACTAGATAACGAAATGTAATTAGAAAACGTAATATCCACAAATAGAAAAAATACAAACAGCAGAAAGACTGCCTGATGGTACAACAATTTTAAACAAATATTAGTTTAAATTATCACCTACCCGTAGATGAAGAAATCAATCGAATCCCAGCGAATATCCTCTTCTGAGGTAAAACTGATTTGCCAGTCGCTCCTTTGGAAACGACAGTGGAGAGGCGAACTAGAAACCGTGACATGCTTCTCGACATACTATTTCATGCACTGGCGGGACTTTCTCCACTATTAGTTAAGATGGGCAACCCAATAGACTGGAAAGAATTGAGCTCAGTTGTCTTCATTCCACCCCTCACAGCTCGAGCAGCGGAAACCGGTCACAACTCACAGCTTTATGGGTCACGGTCGACTGGCGACTGAAACTGATCAAACTTTGCACCTTTTGTCAATGGACTAACCGCTCACGAACGTCGAAGTTTTTACTTATGTGACTTTGGGGTTTCTTGTTTTCTGGCTCATCAATGTAGACTTTGAACTTCATAAATCACAACTCTGACTTGACCACAATTCACAGCATTTTATATCTCACGTAGTTTTATATCAAGGTAATACTTTATTTGGATTTAATTCAATTTTTGTTTTACAGAGTATAATTTATATATTGTCAAATTATTGAATTTATCCCACCCCTCTCAGTTTCCCTATAGACACACAGAAACAAAATTAATATCTGCTTTAAATGGACTGATATATTAGGGCTGCTTGTGAGTTGCTTTTCATGAGGTTTCCAGGTTGATGCATGAGGTCTATGATATAGCTTTCAGGCTGAGAATAACCATAAGCTTTCTTCGGACCCATGATGAGAATTTCATTCCAGGCACGGTTGTATTCTCCTCTGATGAGACTACAGCTCAGCCCAATTCGGTCAGCAAGAACCTAAAATGAATTGAAATTAATCTGTTAAAACAACTGGCTAAAGTCATCTGTTGTAACTAAAGCTGCATTTGTTTTTCAACCACCATGTTTATGGAGACATATAACTTGCAGTTCAATTTAAATGTATAAGTCTTGAAGTCACTGTCAGGTCATTTTTATACAGTCAAGCAAAAAGATCCTGCCAAATCCCAGCAAGCACAAGATGTCAACATGTGTCAGATAGATGTCATATCCCAATGTCTTGGGGGCGTTGCATTTTGTTTGGAAATGAAAACTGGGTTGATGTCAGAACTCAATGTCAGGCTAATGTCAATGTCAAACCTAAAATGAACCAAATATCAACGTCTAATGATGTTACAGTTTGACGTTGCGTGGATGTTACCACAATGACGTCTATCAGACGTTGAATTTTGCTTGCCATCCCTTACAAATAAATGTCAGTATTTGACATCAAAATGACGTTAGTTTAAGATGCTGGCTCGACATTTGCTTTTGGTCACTTTCCAACACAACCTAAAATTAACTATATATTAACGATATTTGATGTCGTTACTGGACATCAAAATAATGTTGTCCTTAGACACTGACTAGAAATTGAATTTTGGTCACCTGACATCACCATTTTAATATTAATGTCTTATGACATTGTGTGCCTGTTGGGATAGCACACAAGAATGTATGAATTACCTTAAAAAGTAATGCTCTGTGAAAATATGTGCCCTTTTTAATCTTTCCAATGAGAACGATGTTGGAACAGGCTTCAAACTTCAGCTCGCTAATGTGGAGCTCCCAAAGAAAGTCATGAAGCTTCTGTTGCTCAACCTGACCGCCCATCGCGTCACATACTAACCTAAGAGAAACTCACATCAATTTTCCTATTTCAGCCATGTGGATGATAAATATGGGGTGATGATGATGATGATGATGATGAAAAACTCACATGGCCAAAGCTGTATACATTTTGACCTCATCCTTAAGTGGCATTATGGATTCTGCAGCCTCTTTGACAAGGTTGTGAAATGCAGCATCATACGGCAAACTCCATGTTTCTTCCACCATTATCTTCTGGTGTGGCTTGCACTCATCCTCTTCTTTCTTTTTCTCATCTTCCTCTTTGTGACCTTTTCCCTTTGTTTTACTTGAAAAAAAAGAAAGATGAGACCAGGAAAATGGTTTACAGGAAACCCATTTATATACATACACAGCTCACACACACACCTTGGTGTTTTGCTGCTTCTTCTGCCGTTTAAAACAGATGAGGCTGTAGTATCTGTTGGACTGTCTTGTTTACCTTCCTCTGGTCCTTTGGGGATAAATCTAAAGTAGAATAAATGATGAGGCCTTTTAATACTTAAAAGGATTAAACTGAAAAATAAAAATGAACTTATTATTTATGGTATTAGGTTGTTTTGGAGGATTCCAGGAGTGGGTCAAACTATCAGTCTAATTTATAGAAAACAAATATGATAGGAATTGAGATTCCATCACTATGACAATTGATCTTAATTTCTTGAATGTAATCACACGTTTAAGTCACTTTAAAATAATTCACACAACCCCAGCCAACAAATAAGCTGCATTTTCAGAAAAAAATATATAATATAAATTCTTTACACATAAACTATTTCAGCTCAAAACGTTCTATATGTAGGCTGGATTTTGGACCATAAAAAAGCCATCAAAGCCCCACACACTCTGATTGGATAAAGAAAAATTCCCCCAAGATCTTCATATCTATTTAGTCAGATACATATTGGTTGGCTTTTCCTTTAACTTCCACTATGGACAAAAAGTAAACTCCTTCACAAACATATCCTACAGCTCTTAATCAAGTAACCTTTGTGTTCACTTGACATTTAAGTCCAGAACTCTGTCCACAAACGCCAAGATCAAAACAAACACAAAAATATAAAAGTGGTCAAGTAATGTTCTGTGTTTAATTAAGAATCTTTAAATGCAATTAACTTGTACTAAGCATAAATTGTGTTGCTTGAGCCTCAGTGGCAGAGTTCCCAATTCTCCTGTGGAAGCTCCAGGCATGATTCCCGAGCTAATGCAGGCAAAAGAATTTTCCTCCCCCGGGGGGGAAATCCATCTATCTACATCTATCTGTTGCGCAACAGAGGTATTTAATATTCAAGTGTGCTGCTGGAGAACTAATGCTGTGGAATAGGACGGCCTCTGAAAGCCTTTATTCTCCACAAAGAACTTGTTTTCTCTCTAAAGTGAGATTAGAGAAGAGATCTAAATACTGGTCAAAATAGAATAGAAAAATTAGCACTATTTATGATCCTGGATCAGAAAGTCTATCATTAGTGTAAATTTTTTATTGGAGATTTTTACATCACCTGAAATCTGAATACATTCATTCATTTTCCTTCGACTTATCTTCCTATCCTTCGAGTCTCTATTTCAGAGGTTGCCACAGTGGAATGAGCCACCAACTATTCCAGCATACTGTATGTCTTACGCAACTAACTACTGAACACTGTGCCACCCCCGAAATCTGATTAAATAATAAAAAAAAAAAAAAAAAAAATATATATATATATATATATATATATATATAAACACACATCTCAGCAGAGATATAACTGTTTTAATATGTAATCTGAGTTTTTAAAAATTACAATACTGAGAAACTCCTCTTCTAAATGAAGTTCTTATCATTGAACATTACTAATCAGAAATTGAGTTTTGATATATTTACTGTTGGACAATTTTTAAATATCTTCATAGAACATTTGAATGATTTTGGCATAAAAGAAAGTTCTATTTGGACCCATACACTTTGTTTTTTAGGCTACTGGCAAAAATAAGGCTAGTTTTGTGGTCCGGGGTCATATTTGAAAAGTTGTTTGGTACAATGTTTGTGCAAGTTTTATGTGATAAAGTAGTTTTTGACCCTTGGCCTTAACATACTGATTCTGAGGTTTTCCATTGACCGCAATGGTGGCTCGATGCTGGTTGACCACTTGTTTTGATATATCCTCTAATACAGGAAACTGATGACCCACTCTTATCTACAGGAGGAAGACAAAACAAGAGAAAAGAGAGTGACTGATTGATTTGTGCAGCATTTGAGACTGAAGATTTAGTTTTGCTCTTGAGAAACGTTTACATTCAGACCTGTCCAGGGTCATAGAAGCCATCAGTGGTAATATCGCTGGATGACAGGTGTCCAGTCAAACTATATTTCAATGATAGATTGCTGTCCAGAAGCTTCTGAAGTGCCAGCTGACTGAATTTGTTGCTACGATGTGATGACAGGCTGATTTCCTGGAGGATCTCTAGAGCTCTGTAAGATTGATGAGAATAACGCCAAATGACTAAACAATCAATGAGCTGACCCTTCAAGTGATGGAACACCTAACAGAACGAATCTCTCAAAAACGGTCAGCAATATAATCCCCCCAAAAGAGAGAGACTAAAAAATTAAGCCTATTTTTAGAACTTTATTTGTAGTAGTTTTGTTACATTGTCATTTAATAGTAATGCATTTCCCAGTTGTCATTTACAGTAATATGAAATTTGGGATAAATGTATCGTTTTAATTGTAAATTATTCTTATATCATGCTGGCATTTGTTTTATTTCTTTTGATTGGTTTAAAATAAATTAGAAATCAATAGCAGTACAACAGATGATCAAGATTGGATTATATAAATATTAATCCTTAAATAAATACAAAAAAATAACTATTGTGATTAGATTATAATCAAAATGGCTGACAGAATTATATCAATTGTTTAAAATGCACAAGAGGAAGAAGACAGAATGCATGACATTTAAACTGGTCCTAAATACGCTTAATAATCTTCTACATGTTTGGCACTTGTGATCTGCTGCCATCTTCTGGTTTTACTTTCACAGTTCATTATTTAAATGTCAACGTCAATAGTCTTGGCAAGAAACCTTTTTAATGTTCAAAGAAAAGGCTGATGCACCTGCTAAAGGGTTATACAGTGGCCATTTTATCAGGTACATTTAATGCTTGTTAAAGGTGCAGTAGGTGATTGTCCTTAGAAACATTTGTTGTTGTGCTGGTTGAAAGTCTATTTACATTCCAATAGTAATAATTAAAGTAAATGATCTAAATGTATTTATGGGTCATTCTTCAACTACGGGCACTTTAATGCTTGTGAAGTTAAGTAAAAAAAAAAAAAAAAATTTGTTCAAAATGAACGTAACATAGGCTCATAAGTTTGAACAATTTGTCTAGTTTTGAGATCTGTATGAGGACAAAATTAGATAAGAGAATTTTTTTTTCCATCGTGAACTGAACAAATGTCAATCCCACCACATCTCAATATACAGCTTATTTCAAAATGAAATAAATTATGGCAGTCAAACATTGTCTAAGATCATTTTTGTATCTAGTTTAACCAATCTTTCCACAATATATATAATAATTTTACATTTGTCAATGAAATAAATTTGTTGTATGCTGAATTGTACACCTGTCACACTCTAAAATGTAATATTAATTTTGTTAAGAGCTTATTAGAAAAAAACTGAATTCATATATTAAATAAAGCATGAGCTTATACATTGTGAATACACTTTT